TCAGTGTTATGCAAGAAAGATAAAAATTGTGTTTTAGAAGGTTAATTACACTAACATCCCCTGAGGTTTTTCGAGTTTTCATAAAATTTCCTCAGGTTTGAAACATTACACTAACACCCCTTAAGGTTTTAGTTCATTTTCACAAATACCCATTTGGTCGAAGATTTGTATATAAAAGGACAATTTGCCCTTATAATTAATTACTTAACATAATAAAGAACTTTTATTAAAAAAAAAAAATTAAATAAACAATTACGCAGAACATTAAAAAATAAAAATAAATGATAAATCGGAATCCAAACATCTAACTTATGTTTGTTTTTCCACTTCTGTCACTAAAATGCACTCGGCCCTAAAAACCATTCCCCTCATTTCTAGCAACCCGGTCCCGATCTTCTTCTTGGTTGAACAATCCCTAAGCTTTGAACAAAAGAGAAGGCGATGTTCACGGGTAGATTTCCTAGAAAGTATGAAATTAAGATAAATAGAGCAAAAAAAAGATGATGATGTCGATGAAAAAATTTCAGAACAAAAGAGATGGCGATGTCATTAAAGGCACTGCAAAACATGGACATAGGCGGTAGCGGATAATTGACTGTGCTCTCGAGTTTTGTGAAGAAAATCGATTCTTTTTCGTCTTCGTCTGGACCGTTTAACCTCTCAGTACATGTAAATGTTATTGGACAATATTTTATTTGTTCTCTTAGAAGAATTCTTATAATTGAAAATAGATCGAATAATTTGTTAGTGCAGTTGAAGTTCAAGAAAACACATTCAATGATGATGGAGGGATTCTATCAGTTTTTAATTTTTTTTTTCTTAATGTTTAATGTAACTTTTAATTTGATTTTCTTTGTCTTATTTATTTATAAAGTTTATTATTTTGTTAAGTAATTACTATAAGGGTAAATTTGTCTTTTTATTGACAGATTTTTGATAAGAGAGATTAAAACCTTAAAGGGTGTTAATGTAATGTTTCAAGTCTGAGGGAGTTATGTGAAAACTTAAAAAAACCTCAAATGGTGTTAGGGTAATTAACCCGTTTTTAAATCATTTATTTTAATGTTGAAGTGGTAGCCGAGTTCCCAAGTCAAATGATAAGTGAGAAAAGTAAATAAAGAAGATAACTAGCATTCCTCAATAATTTTGTGTAGTCAACCTATAATTTAGGAGGATTTTAAAAGACTTTAAAGTAATAGATTTGATAGAATTTGAAAACTCCTACAAATTCCATATAGATTTTTAAGGATTTCTGTTGATTTGGTTTATGATTTTGGTGGATTTTTAAGGTAATGGAGATGGTAACCCAACAGACAACCGAAAGCAACCATTTATCTTCACCACTTCTACCCTCTAACCGTTATCGCCACCTATGGGAAATTCACCATTACGCACCAAGCCTCTGTTCGACTTTCTGATAAAAAAAATTACAAATGGTGAAATCAACACCATCATTCCATAAAATTAGAAAGAAAAAAAAAGAACTCAGAAAAATCCCCAAAAATCAGTGGAAAAAAAGGATAAAGAGCAAGAATTGATAGTTGCACAAGAAAAAAATGAAGATGTGAAAATTGGGACCCAGCAACACTAACGGGAGTGTCAAAATGATAATCATATATGTAGACAAGATCAGATTGATCATATATTATTGAACATTGACTATTGTGAAATGATTACCATCGTTTTCAAATGCCCTTTGTCTGGAAATGAAGGATTTTGGCTGTAAATATATGGAGACTATAAAAATTACCATTTGCATGACTAAGATTAGCTCGACAGAAGGTATTTCGTCGGGTAATTCCACTTCGCTCAACGAAATATAACTCCTAGTTGCGAAAACGTGGTCAATGCCTTGGTATTTTTAGAGGCTTTACGTGAGGGAGCAATTTGGTGGGGCAAGTCCCAGGTCGTTGGGCAAACATTTGGCGCTAAGGGTGAAAAAAATGGTACGAAACCAATCAAATCTTTCCCAACGAACTTTTAAAGTTCCGTCGTGCAAAAGGCTTTATTAGGTCTTAGCCTTAATTAGGTTTCAGGGTTTTAGGGTTTCAGGGTTTAGGGTTTACAGTGACCAACCTTTCCCAACAAACTTCCATCAAACTACCATGGCTATTTGCTTCAATTATGGAGGTTTAGGGAGTAGTATTGGTGGTAAAAATCAAAGGAAGGAGTGGAAGCCAAATGTGGGGGTTCGCAGAGCTCAACTATAAGATTTGTCATGGTAATATTAGAACTAGTAGTTGGAAAGGATATAAGGATCACTATGTGGAATACTTGAGTAATTTCTTTTGGCGAAGAAGGTGACGACGAAAAGTTACTTGGATGACTTGCATGTGGTCCATGAAGAGGATATCACCGTGTTGACCCTAAAAATTACAAAGCTACGTGGCGCGCAGGCCGAGTAAGTAATAAGCTAACTACGTCCTTTGGTTGAATGCGGGGCGTACCAACTCGTCGGCCGAGGAGTAAAATTTGTTGATGTTGCGTTGAGTGCATTGCTGACCTCTTGATCTTGCGATTGCGGCCTAGGAAGGAACAAATCTCGGCCTTTTGGTTCTCGAGCCTGAAGACAAGGCTGCTAGTTCTACGAAGTTCACGAATCATCTGCGTTGGATTCGGTCACGGTGATTATATTCGTGAGAGTATAAGCACGTCGAATTGACACCAGACTATATGGACACAAGTATTCAAAGGTAATGTGTGTCTTGATGGTAAATGTGATTCGGCCCTTAGAATGCCGAACTCCGAAACTCACTTAGGAGTATCCAATCACAAAACCACTCGGCGTTTAATGCGCCAAATGTCGTAACTCGTAACACCTTACTTCTATTAGGATTTTGAATTCAACCTCTTACTAGGCCACATTCACTTCCACTTTCCGGTATCCTTATCTGGCCGAGAATCCTTACTGCATCAAGACTTAACCACTTCATTCATCTGCTTCGCAATAGGGCCCACCTACTTCCTATTCATCTGGAATATTCTTTTCCAAACAGGGCTTGGCCGACTTTTAGTTAGGTGGCCCATGAACTAGCTAGTTTGTAGAAATCCTTGAATAGAGCTTCTGGGCCGAGAACAATTTCATACTCGGCCGAACCCAATAATTTTAGGTCCAAACACACTGTCATGATAAAAAATATCCCCAACAAACGCCACCTTCAATCCCTACCGTTGGATTAATCTACATAACTACTTTATAAACACCCCTTCTTTCTGCATTTTTTTGCTCGCTCAAATCCACTGTTCTGGCAAAGTCTAATTCCTCTAAAAAAATTTAAAATTTCTCTTTTTTTTCTCAGTCCTTTTTTGTAATGAATCCCAAACTTCAAACCCTATAGCTACAAAATTAATTTCAATAATCCAATTGTCAAAAATGTTTGCATATACTTTGAGATATTCTATGCCAAAAATGACAAAAAAGAAAGTTCAAAGATTAGGTAACAGACAAAATTATTCGACGGTTAGAAATGAAAAAGCACGATTTAATGGTCATTTTAACTCCGATTTGGTTTTACAAATACAATTCTCAACGCTAGCCGAATACGATGAATGAACTTGATCATCAATTTAAAATATTTACACTAGGGATACAATAAAAGCTTACATTCTAATTAATCGAAGTATATAATAAACTATAAGTGTTTTGGGATCCAGTCTTTTGACGAGAAATGCATTCTATGAAACTAGTTTCCACGATCGAATAGTCAAACATGTTTGCATATACTTCGAGATCTCCTATGCCAAAATACAACAAAAGCTTACATTCTACCTAATAGTGTGTAAAATAAACTCTAAATGTTTTGGAATCCATTCTGTAAAATAAACTCTAAATGTTTTGGAATCCATTCTTTTGACGAGACACACATTCCACGAAACTAGTTTTCATGATATTGGAAACCTTTGCCTACGAGCATTCCGCCAGGCAAAGATCTTATATGTTATAACCCCCAGGCAAAGGTCTTATATGTTATAACCCCCAAACCTCACTCTAACCCTGTGAACCACCACCACCACCACTTCATGCTCTATCTCTCAAATCTCTCATTGTAAGTTACCTTATCTCTTTGTATTATAATTTTTTTTTTAATTTAATTTTAGGATTTGTTAGGATATGTGAAATTGATTTTTTATTTTAATTTTCGATTTCGTGTTATTTGATTTTTTTTTTTTTTTCAAATTTGCGATAATCTCTGTGCAGTGTTGATAATATTGATAATTTGTCGGATTTGGGATAACCTTGTAGGATTTTTGTGGTTGTTTTGATTGTTTTTGGTAAGGTGGTGGTGGACTGGGGTGGGGTACGAGGGTTGTGGGGTGGTGGGGCGGGTACCATGGTGGTGGTTTAGGGGATGGGGTGTGGGTGGGTGAGTGGTTACGGGGGTGGTTTTAGGTGGGTGGGTGGTGAGCGTGGGGCACGGGTACGGTGGCGGGGGATGGGGCTTAGGGCTTAGGTAGTGTACGGTGGTGATGGGGTGGGGGTTTCAGGGTTTAGTGCTTAGATGTTCGTAGGTGGTTTTAGGTGGGGGTCTTGGGGTAGTTAATTAGGTTGTAAAATTTTGAAACTTTTAGGTGGTAAATTTTAGGGAATATGTGAAATTTTGAAATTACGAAATTGTAAAAATTGTTAGATAGTGAAATTGTGATTTTAGGTGGTAAAATTGAGAAATATGTGAAATTGTAGGAAGTTTTCGAAAATTTGTGAAGTTTGTAGGAAAATATGAAAACTTTGTGAAAATTTAGAAATATGTGAAATGCAGTTACGTTATAATAATTTGTGAAATGTAGTAAAGTTATAATAATTTGTGAGATGTAGTAAAGTTATAATAATTTGTGAAATTTGTTTAAATTTGGTTAAATTTTAGAAATATGTGAAATTGTAGGAAATTTATGAAATTATGATTTTTTTTTCTTTCATAGATGTCTTCGCGCTTGATCACCAGTAGCCGTCGATCAACCTCCGCCCCTGCTTAGAGTGAGAGGTTAGCAGCTAACACCACCCAAACGTCTAGCGGGACCTAGATAGCACTGTCGAGTCGGTTTCCAGTGCTAGTAGTTTTGTGCCATTGGAGCAGGTGGCCGGATCTTCTAAGAGTCCTCATAGCTGCAGACGCCACGAGCCTTTGGTAGCCCCAGCTCATCCCACCCTTCTCAGGGCAGCCCTAGTAGAGAGGTCAACTTAGCAGTCGTACAACAGGTTAGGACGAAGAGCTCTCCACTGGGTTGAAAAGCAAAAAAAAAATCGAAAAATTTGTAGAAGGTTGGTGAGCAGATGAATCACTCAGGTCACACAAAAGCGGATCTGGGTTGAATACCTCTTGAGTCACTGATGAGCAAATGAAAAAGTTAACAGTTTGTTGATTCACGACATAGGTCCCGTCATCTGCACCAAATGCCTTATAATCCCCGTTTCCTAGAAGACGCACAGCTCCAAGGTCAGTGCCGAGATGGACATACTACTTTCAGTAAGTGTACAACTTTCTTAATTAATTAATTTTTTTTCTTTACTTTTTTAATGTGGTTTTAAACTAAAAAATTTGGATTTTTTTTGGGAATTTTAGGCCAATTTCGAGTGGCACATGGTGGAAAATGATTATGTTAAGTACATAGACTGGTTGTGGAGCGAGCGATGTGAGAAGTGGAAGTACCGGCTGCATAAATATTATCAGACTTGTGCGTCACCTAAGGTAGCTCCTAAAGATCCACCTGAGGAGTTTGTGGAGAGGATGGGCTAGTGGAATTGGCAGTGCACTCATTTTCGGAGCAAAAAAATTTAAGTAAGTTTTATTTATATTTTAATTTTAGTTCAATTTTTATGTTTTTTTTAAGTCAAGTTTAATTAATATTTTTTCAATTTACAGAAAAAATTGGCATCAAACAAAGGTAATTGGTAGAAAAAGCTGTACCTTCATCACTTCGGTTCTCGACCCTTATCTTATCGGGTCAAGGAACAGCGTGCTACTGGTTCACATTTCCCAAAGGTGGGGGTTTTGGGGAAAATGCATTCCAATTATGGCAACCAAGTCGCGAATGTCATTTTTGTAATATTCCGTTCTATGTTTTAATTGTAAATCTCATTACAATAAATAAGGTTTAAATTATAATCGATAATCTTAGTTGGTTTCCCCTGTTTTTAATAGGCTTTTATGATGCAGAAGAAGGACAAGTACCTCATCAATATCTCCCAGCAACAACTAGGTGTGCCTATGGAAGAGCTAACACCTAATCCATACTTCAGCATGTGGAGCGCTCCAAAGAGAATAAGCTCAGCTCCAAAAAGAATAAGCAGCGCCTCTGGGAGAGGCTGCTACGCGCAACCGAGAATTAATGCGCATATACTTTACTTTGCTATGGTGACCCAATCCTTGTTAGCTTCTGGCATAAGCATTTCCGAGTCCTCGACCGACCTTCAGAAGCCATTCCCCTAGTTACCGCAGCATCTACCCGAGTAGTTTACGTTTATTTATTTAGTTTTTTTAAACATAATTGTATGAAAATTTTTATTTGAATGTAACTAAATAATTTTTTTTAAAGTTATAAACAATTATAGCTTTCTAAATTAATCTAATTAAATATTTATTATAAATATTATTTTTTTCATCATTGTCTAAAAAATAAAAAATATATATTAGCTCAACGAACTATTTTGTCGAGCAAACATTATGTTATTTTAGCTCACTCTCCCACTCCTTTAATGTAAATAATATCGTATGTTAAAAAAAAAAATTGGTTTCATAGAGTTGGCCTGACAAAGTTTTTGTTGGATCAAGTTTACAAGATTATTTAATTCTGTGCAAGCGGCGGAATATCCTTGTTGGGCAAGTTATTTCGTTGGATCAATACGGTCAACGCACGTTTGCGCGACGAGTGTATTCCTTAGGCTAAATCCATTTCACCCGATGAAAATGAAATCTTGTCGAGTAAGACTTCAAGGGATCAATTTTGAAATCAATTGGCGAAGTCCGACAACTTTGCTAAAATTGACCATGCTTGCTCTACACAAGTAATCAAAGAGTTTCCTATAATCTTAGAGTCCTTATAATCTAAGGATTGGCATGCGCCGCAAGTAACCGCTCCTAAGAGGATGCAATATCTACTTCCTAAATATCCTCTAGGATTGTCCTCATTTAATAAGGATTCTACTATCCTAAAAGGTCATCTCCTCGACTGGTACAAATACACCCTTCTAGGTTTCTTCTCTATTAACGCAATTCATGCATGCTTATTCTCTTGCTTATTGGTTGAGTCTTAATATTGCTTACTAACTTGACTGTCGAAGAGCCTTTGATTGGCACCCCCCAAGTCTTTGGCTTACACATGGTTGTGTGTTCTTTTACAGGTAAACGAGTTTAAGCATTTCCACCACTTACGGTGGTGTGCAAATTTGGTTTCAATAGATAAGAAAATGTATAATGTAGCATTATGTTTTCTTTCCTACAACGATTGGTGCATCATTTTCTTCTTTGACGGTTTCAATTTTTTTTTTTCAAAATAATTATTTGACAAAATACCTCAGTGAATAACTGATTTTTTTTTTTTTTTTTTTGCGCACTCTATTTGTATCTAAAAAATTTATAATTAACACTAAGACCCCAAAGTTCAAATCTTGGATTCATCGCTGGGTTTGAGTATTAAGTTGTATTTAGACAAATGAAATTGAAATGTGAATGGAATTAGAAATCAAGCAATGATAGTATTGTACAAGCTTGGTTGAATGGAAATTTGAAATGAAAATTAGTTGAAAATAATCCCATTGCGTTGCATAGTTGGAGTTTGAAGAGACATTCGAGACATTCGAGACATTCGGAGTTTCAAAAAGTGAGACCTCAAAAATTCAATAAGAGCGGCACGTCTAGAAAGTACGGAAAATTCTAATGCGAGGAAATTAACCATTTGAGTTCATTTGAGTTTCAAAGGATGATGGAGTTTTTAGCGATGAAATATTTGTTCCTACTAAAACATTTTATTCGCGAAGATGAATATTTGTTTCCTCAGCCTACATATTATTCGCGAACATGCATTTCGTCATAGAATATTTTTTTTGGTCAAACGATAAAATTATTAGATTAGGGAGTTCGAATCCACATCATGGTGCACTAAGTCATCGTATGCTAATCATGCTATAGTGTTTTGGCTCAATGTTTTCTAGGCATATATTTTTTTTAATGGTTGGTTGAAAAAGTATAAAGAGGGGAGGCTACCTCATCCCAAAGTCACGGTATACTACATGTTTCTTTAAGGACTTAGGTCATCTCCATGTGGAGGGGGTAGACATAGCCCTGTGTAAAACTATAGTCCTGCAAAAAATTATTTTTTTAATGAACAGTGCCACACTATATTCATATATCATCTCCAACCGAAAAGACAAAGTATAACTGCCTCAATAATTTATTAGTTTTAAGTTATTATTTATATTTATTAGTTAATTTAATTAAATTACTATTTATACCGTATTAAAATAAGATTACTAATTAAATTACTATTTATATTTTTTGTGTCACGTGTCGTCAAATGGGTATGAAAAGAGTGTTTAAGGTTAACAGTATGTGAAAATTTGAAATAAAATAAGGTAAGATAGTATGTAAGAAAAAAAATTCATAGTAAAAATTCAAGATAAAATTAACAAACACAACAAATTAAGGAGAAAATTAAAAAAAATCATAGTAAAAGTTCATCTCGGTAACTTCATGGGGTCGCAATGAACTCAACAGCTCGATGCCCTAAGAAGCCAAAGCTTAAGCCATAGTGACTCTGTGGGGTCGTCTGTTTTTTCAAAGCAGCATGCCAGCTAACAGTACTATGGCTAAAAGTTTTGCAAGACGCTTCAAGCAAACAAAGTTTTAAGAAAAACAAAGATGGAGCAAAGCAAAGAAAGCTGTCGATTAGCTAAAACTTCTGTAAGATGCTTCAAGTAAGCAAAGTTTCAAGAAAAACAAAGGTGGATTAAAGCGAAAAAAAGCAGTCTATTAAATTTCTAGCAAGTCGATAAACTTGCACGAAGGTCATCAAAATTCGACATAGGCTAAACAAAACAGATTGCTCATTAGCAGCTTGGATGATCTTAAGCTCTCCAGCAACCATCCCTCGTCCAGCAGCCACTGCGCACTCGTTTGCTCATCTAACACTTCATCTTCAACAACTCCGATCTTGGCATCTTCAACTATTCCATCTATAGCAGTTGAGCAATCAAACTCGAGCAGTTCCCTCATTTTTGGCAAGCATCACAGATGTAGCAGCAGTGGAAAGAGCAGGCTTTGACACTTCTTTAACAGCTGTATCCACTTTTCCAAGTGATAGACTTTCCTCCCCATTTCTCGTAGTGGTGAGCCTTTCAAAAGCTGATCCAGACTTAACCATAACTGGAGACTTAACTTTATCTCTGGACCTAGATGCTGGAAACAGTTTGATGTCAGGCTTTCCAAAAGTAGCAGAGTCCCACGAGCAGCAGAATGACTTCTTCTCAACTGAATGTCCAACAAGCAAGCTAACTTTTTAGCAAGGCTCTACGCCTTTTTCACAACCCTTTCCCTTGGTCCATACTTGCCAGCTACTACACCACCTACAGCAGTTCCATGAGTTACCTACTTGCACGGCAACCTTGTGGCTGCCCTAACACCATCATTGGCCCTGCCGATACACTCTATTGAGCCCCAAGGATCCAAAGAATAAAGAAGAAAAAAATTAAAATTTTCTTACCTTGGCCCCACATGTAGATGAAAAATGACGACGACGATCACTCTTCATAAGGGCAAGCAAAGAAGAAAACTAGAAAAAAGGGTCTACAATATCCTCTCACCTTTTTTTTTCTTTTTTTTTTGTTGAAATATCCTCTAGCCTTTTCTCTCTTTCTTGTAAGGATAAAATTGTTCTCCAAGTTTATTTAGCCCTCTGCTTAAGACAGGCTTAAGTAAGTCTTGGTGGCAATTGGTCTCACTTTCATATGAAGACTCTATTTCTAAAACAAGGTGGAAGATCAACATCAAATTAGGAAAAACAATTTTCTGCACACCTAGCAACTTGTGATTTCTACACCTACTGCCATTTTCTGCTTGCAACCCATCAGGTGTGAGGCATATGCTTAGCCAAAAATAATCCCAAAAGTCCAGAAGACGATACATGGACTTTATCTCAAGAAGAACAAGATTGTCCTCATTAAATGGTCAGGGCTCTCAAATACTACCACGTGCAGCTCAACATCCCTAAAGGTCCAAGCATATGACTACGATTACTTAAAGCTCCCATGCTCGTGCATTGAAAAGTCAAAAGTATTAAAGATAAGGATTAATTACTAAATTCTATATTTAATACAATCCCAATTGAAGCTCAACTCAATCAAGTAATGAATCCCTATCACTATCAATTAGGGATACTTCCACCATTTTCCCAAGGTTTTTTCTCCTGATTAATATCTTGGGAATATTCTTTCCTCATGCATTCAAAGGATGACACACCTTGGCAAATATGATGCCACCATGTTTAGGGCAAAACCCTAACCCCATGGTCGGCCACCTCCTCCTATAAATAACTCACTATTTTCAGAGAAACTAACTTAGGCATCAAAGATACATTGGCCAACCCCTTCCCCCACCTCAAGGGCGGGTGAAGCTTAGGTCTTTGATCAAATGTGTTGATTGTTTTGTAGGGACAAATTTGTCAAGACTGAAGACGGTGGAATTTTTTCTACCACAATAAAGAGTCTTATTTTTGAGAGTTTCCTTAGCATTTCTCTAAAATAAAAAGCCTTCCTAGGGCTTCAGGCCAAATGACAAACACGGAG